AAGAACTATGTAATGTTATGAACGACCAATAAAAAAAAATAAAAAAAAAAAATAAAAATATAATTTTCTAAATTTAAGGAAAAAAAAAAAAACTGTGAACCAAAGTACATCTTTCCTCTTTAAAAGCTGATTATCTCAGGTATTTTGTTACAGAAACAGAAAGTTAACAGTAAGTTTTCATCACAGCTGAGGAATCTTGAACTTAAGAAATCCCATTCTTTTATAATGGGCTATAAGCAAATCTGTTCCAGAAGGAAACATCCTCAACATTATACTAGAGAGCAAAATAAAGGGACACACTGTCTCCCAAAGCTGATCACACTAAAATATCTTTGAAAAGATAATTTGGAACAATATCTGCCCTAACACTCCTTGCAAGATGTATGGAAACGTGAGACCCATGGAGAATTGTTTCATAACCTATATTAAATAGCACAACTCAGGAGCCTATTCTGTTAACTACTGCACTGTGCAATCATGATCAAAGACTATAGTATCTTTGTATCTTCCTATCACTTTAAAACACAATCCTCAAGAATATGAAATGATATTACAAAAAAAAAATCCAACATTATATTTTGGAGAAAAAACTAGTGTCTTTAAAAATGTCACCTTAGAAATAGAATTTTAGGGTTGGGAGGGATGATAACAGACAACTCTCTGATGTGACCTTTTCACTTTGTAAATAAAAAATTGAAGTCCAAAGAAAATGAATAATTTGATCAAGACTACCCCTCTGGTTTTTAGTAGTGGGTTTATAATCAGCTCTTCAGTATTACATACTACCTTTAGTTTGTAATAGCTGAGAATACAGAATCTGATCTGAGATGCCTGGCTTTGAATCCAGGTTCTGTCACATTTATCATCTCTGTGACACAGGACAGGTGCTCTAACCTTTCAAAAATGAGGCTCTCTCACCTATAAAGTGGAGCCAACAATTGTACCTACTTCATATGAATTGTAAGAAATTACTGACAGCTGTCACTAGCCTGACAAAGAAAGTGCTCAATCCACTTTACTTATTACTGTTATGTTTTTGATAAAGAATGTAAAATATTCTCTGTTATAAGATACCCTACATAGGAGGGTGGGTAATTCCACAGAAATGAAGGGTGCATATATACCAGTGATATCTGAATATTGGTCAAAACCCAAAGGGCAGTGAGTGCACATATAAGATAACCACTGGCAGAAGAAAGAGATGTTTGAACAATCACGGGTTTGTCCTTTAATTTCCTTTAGAATTTTACAAATAATTAGCTGTAATAAGCTGTCTCACAGGTTATTTCAGACTTCATCCTTCCTCTACATTTATAAGAAATCAGCAAATTGGCAAAATACAAAGCAATTTAAGAATTGTATTAAAAAATATTAACCTTTAATATCACTGCTAAAGTCTATTAACAATTCAACTATGCTCAAAATCAACTATCTCTATGTATGTATCCTTTTAACATATTCACAATGGTCATAAAAAATTAAATTAAAATAGAAGAACCAAAAATAAACAAAAAAAGGAGTTAAGCTTTGACCCTTATCCTCAAAAAATTTAAATCATGTTATCTGTAAATTTAATTTTAAGTAAGTTCCTTGCCAAAGCAGATATACTGATACTGCATCATGTTGTTTTATATTCAATGATATTTAATATTTTTTAAAAATTTTATAATTTTTATTCATATGATTTTTAGTACACTCACATTTATTGGAATGATTCTCTGAAAGCTGTTTCCCTTCATGATCAGTCCAAGGAGAGGGTACGATGACATCTTTAGTGAAAAACTAGAAAAATTAAAGTGATACAATTAGGCATCAATTCTCTCCAAAATGAGAAAAGGTATCTGTGTCATTTTCAAATAACCATCAATCATGTTACATACTGAATCTATAGTAATTTAAAATTTGTAATACTTAAAAACACACAAATGATCAAAAGTAAAATGTAATAAATTTAGTATAAAGAGAAATCTTAATATTTCAAACCAACCACTTAAATTTAAAACATGTAAATTAAGCTAAGGAAATTAGGCATAGAGAAATATTTTAAATTTCTACTCCAATTTTTAGGGGGATGGGGTTTAAAAGGGAGAATTAAAAGGGAAGACAAATGGACATAGAGGTACACAAGCCAGTAAGAATGGAATGCTGGAGCTAGTGTGTACTGGTTCTCAAGATCCGATTATTAAATTTTCAGGAATTTTGTATACCAATCATTAAAGTCAACATTTAAAAATAAAACCATGTAAATTTATAATTAAATAAATTATATTAAAAATATTCAAATGCCATCACTGGCTAATTGTTTTACTTCATTTATCAATATCTATGCTCTTGAGGTTAATTACAACTTTGTATCTATATGGTGGAATTCCTATATACAATGGGGTGCTGCTGCACTTTTCCCACTCAGTTATGTCACATCTATAGCTTCACATTAGCTATGGTTATAGTTTTTACATTATGAATAGCAGCAATCATTAGAAATTGTACTCCTCCCATGACCAGAAGGCCAGTTGTTAACATTTAACATCATGGTAGTATACTCAAATTGAGAAAAAAACATTTAGACATACTTTTTTCATTCCTAATGCAATATTTTCCCCTTCCCTACGCTTTGGGGAGAAAACATTTTGTTTTTAATTTTACTATATATATGAAAAGAGTTAATTTTCTTAATCAACTATAATTATATGAGGAAAAGATGTAAAAACAAAGGGAATGGGAACAGAGATTATGATATAGACAATTCACAAAAAAAAAGAAATACAAAGGATCTAAAACTTATGAAGTGATACATAAGTTTGCTGAAAACTAAAAAAAATTCAAATCCAAATAACAAGATGTCACTTCAAAAATAAAAATAGTAGCACAATTTTTTAAAAGTTTAATCAGTACTGCAGATTAGAAAACAAGCTATATCATACTGCATCATAATGTGCCAGGTTTTTAAATTGGTACAACCTTTCAGAAGGTTAATGTGGCAAAATTTAACAAAACTGAAAATCCACAAAGCCTCTGGTTACCAAGACATTTCAAGTAAACAAAATACAGGGATAAATCATGTTGTGCAAATTATACTGCACAAGACTGCAATACAAAGACAATGAACACATGTTAAATATCTATCAATAATAGCTACGTTATTAAGTTGTTACTAAAAGAATATAAAAATCTATATGTGCTAATTATCAAAAATATTTTTAAAAGATTATTAAGCAAAAAGAGCAAGATGCAAAGCAGTATGCAAAGGATGAACCTATTTGTCTAAAACATTTAAATTACATATGTTAAAATATATATAAAATTAATCTCAAATCATACACATGAAATGTTAATAGCAGTTGCCTTCAGAGGTGATGGGGGAACAAAAGGTTTTTATTTTCATTTTATATTTTTCTTTGCTTTTGAAATTTTTTTAACCATGTACATATAAGTAACTGTTTTAAAAAATGTTAAAAATAAAAAATTAATTTGTTTCTGATGTACTAACCCCAATCTTGACTCTAAATACATTTCCTTAAGTTTTGTCTGCTAAGTTTCTCTTTGAAAGAACTGCAAGTTTTCTAAAAAGAAAGTGTATTTTCCAAAATATTGGAAAATTAGGAAGAGTCTAAGACTATTAAGCTGGGGGTGAATTAAGTGATTTTTCACACTGAAAATATTAGAATTTTAGGTAAGGATGTTTGGCAGGAGTTAATATTAAATTGTTTTCTAAAAAATAGTTAATAATCTGAAATAAAAGGGATAGTACCTATATTAGAAAAAATTAGTGCCAGAGAAGTCAGTTCACCACGTGACCTATGAACATGCCATAGCAGGTCTTCTGGGGTGTAGAAGAGCCAAGTATAGCTAAGAAATAGAGGAGCAGGGAGGAGGCTACAGAGAGAAAAAGGGGATAAAAGAAAAAACCAGAAATACTGCCACAATACAAAGACTTTCTGAGGAAAGAACTAGATAGATAACCCTTACTTACACCTTAAGAGAAGTAATTCAGCAAACAAAAAAGCAAAAGATGAAAAACTTAGTTCATCAATTTTACTAAACAAACAAAAACCCTTTCATTTATATTTAGCAGTCACTTTATTTCATGGAATATATTCTGTCTTAAAAGTATTAACATTAACAACAACAAAAGATAAAACATAGATGGGCACAGTGGCGCACTCCTACAATCCCAATGGTTTGGGAGGATGAGCCAAGATGATTGTGAGTTCAAAGCCAGCCTCAGCAAAAGGGAGGTACTAAGCAACTCATTGAGACTTTGTCTCTAAATAAATAAATAAATAGGGCTGGGGATGTGGGTCAGTGGTTGAGTGCCCTTGAGTTCAATCCCTAGTATCCACACTCCACCAAAAAGGATAAAACTACCTAATCCAATCTAGATTTTGAAGGACTAAATATACTCAACTTCCTTTAAATAAATTCCAACTTGAAACAGAATTTTGTGCTAATCAATATTCTGAAGGCACAAGAAAGATAAATTGTGCTAGGTTCTGAGAATGAAAAGATGATAAAGCATAATATTTGCCTAAAAAAAAAAAAGTAGGGAGAGAAGCAGTAGGTTGTCACTGCAATTGTATTTGAGTCTTAAGATTACGGAGATAGCTGAAAATCACTTTATAAGAGCACAGAAGGATGCTCAACACAGCTGAGGTCAAGGAATGGGAGGTTTGGCAGGAAGCAAGAGGGGACAGTGAAGGATTTTAAGACACACATGCAGAAGGCATCCTTAACTGGCTTAATCAGTAGCAATTGTAAATTACCTCTTCAATGGCTTTTTGTCTTTTGTCTTCCACATCTTTATCTATTCTATACAGAGATAAGGAAGAAAAATAACCAGGCCATTACTTAAGCTTAGTGAACATTTAAAATAATAACCTTTCAAAGAAATAATTTCCCTCCATTGAAAATGGGCAAATAAATGTTAGGCTCATTTTAAAAGAAAAATTGATATCTTATAGCATTTAGTTAATGGAAGTATTCTGACATCCAGCATTTAGCCATTAGGTTTACCTCCCTCTTTTCCATTCAAAGTTTGAACAGAATTATAGTTTCTTTGAAAAAATTTACATTAATACATTTAAATCACTATCAACAACAAAGTAATTTGAAGAAAGTCTGCCTTTTAATCCACACAAATCAATAAGCATTTCATTTGACAGAAATCTAAAAATTGTTCAAATTCCTTTTATAGGCAGTTTATCATTTTTATATTTAGTTATTTTAAGATAAACTTTTACTCTGAAATAGAAGAAACTATCATCCTAAGAATTCTAAATAAACAGGCAAAAATATTAATTTTGAAATAAGACAGCAACAATGTAAAATTTTGTTCAAATCAATTCTTTTGTTTCACTTTGACACAATATGGAATTACAGCAACACAAACTTCTCAGCTACATGACTTAATGTAAAATGTTGGGTCTCAAGCATAAGGTATATACTTGCCAAGCAATAGGCAGTTAGCCTCATGGGACCACTTCTTTATTATGTTCCAGGAAAGAATGCTTTCATTCCATCCATAAATTGGTACAGCATTTTTTTACAACAATTTCAAATTATTTTCTCTAAGAAACTATTTATGTATGTATTAGTTATCAGTTTAACAAAGCTGTACAAGAATATACACATTGTAGAAATTTAAATCAAATGAATTTTTCAAGTAAGAGAATTCTGAGAATATAAATTAAGGTGAAAATCTACATATCCCAGTTTGAACAACAGCCATTTTGAGGATAATGACTCAGTTTTCTTCATCTGATCATGGTCACAACAGGTCAAAATGACAGTGCATAATATTCTTAGCATCCAGGAAGCCCTAATCTAGCTTTACCTCATTCAGAAACTTTTTGCTGTTTCATCAGAGGGACTTCAAGAACTTAAAATATTCAGCTGATTGCTAAAAGTAGTAAAATATTGTAGTGCCAGGTGATGGCAGGCCCTAAGAAGTCATATAGGGCAAAGTATCCTAACCAGCAAACAATGAACACTGGTATGATGTTATGAAGGTAGCATGTGTACTCTGAATGTTGACCCTTACAGTAGGGAAAAGAGAGGAGACCTTCAGGACTGGTCACCTTCTATCCGGACAAGACTTATTTGATTGTACTAGTAAGCCTTATAATTATCATTTTCTGTATGTGCTATGGGATGAAAAGGAAGGGAAGAACTGAAAAAGATATTTTGGTTAGTTAAGAAAAGGTAGCAGAAGTCATTGCTTGCTTCTAATAATGAATCAGCTTGCTGTGTTAAGACTATTTTCACTATCCTTGGTAAAAGTCATAAGTATTCATTGAATTACATGAATAAATTAATATTATAATATTTCCCCCTGCCTATATCACAAAACTAAAATATAACAAGATTCTCTTTATAAACATACCCAACCAATACATAATTTATAAATAATTGTAGAAATGATGTGCTGCAACCTTGGTTAAATTATATTGTTCAGGGGCAGGAATAATATTCTATAATATCTTAATATATTTTTTCAGTATTTCTTAGAGAGCCTCAGAGTGTTCAATAAATCAATCACTCTTGATTGAAAGATGTAAAGTTGTCATGATTCATTATATTAAAGAGATGAGGTGAATAATAAAATATATAGTTCATGTGAGACAAATTATTAATTGTATTTATTTGCTTTTAGATATTCTTTTCACCTTCTCTTTCAAAAGTATTAAATTTAACTTAAAATCCTTTTTAAATTTATGTCCCTTCTAAGGACACCCTCATCATTATACAAAATACATGTATGAAGATGTGAATTTGGTGTCAACATACCTTATATATAATCAGAGATATGATAAATTATTGTATAATGGTGTATTAAGAATTGTAATGCAAAAATAAATAAATAAAAATTTATCTCCCTTCTATATATAGTCTTCCTATAAAAAATGGGCATTAATTAATTTTGAATGAACAGTTATCAATTTACCAAGCAGAGAGCATTAAGTAGAAAAGCCAAACAAGTATTTGTAAGAATATCTCAACATGTGTGACTCTTGGTGTGAATGAATCCTAGAGTCAAAAGGAAAAGAATCCCATTGTTTTGGATGAACAACAAATCTATCATATAAAAGAAAATTAAAAGGTGGTCATACCATGCATTTGGTTTTTCAAATACAAAAAAAAAAAAAAAAACAAACAAACTATAAAACAAGAGTTCTTCACACTCTAAATACCTATTTTTACTAAAAACTAGCTGTTCCCCTAAAGAAGCACAAGTCTGAAGCCTTGAAACCTTCACAACACATCCACAAAGAAGTTTTAAGACTGCTCCAGTATTAGGAAGAAGCCAAGGAAATGTAATTCAGATACCCACAGTGAACTATTAAGTCAGAAAGCTCTCTGTTGCTAATGCATACTCTTCCATTCAAAGTGTCTTAACTTGTTAAGGAGGTTTTAGGCTTCCCCAAACACATATCACAACTAAACAGAATTTTGCTTTATCACAACATTAAAAAACAAGTCAGAAGTAAAAATCATGGAGAAAATTACAAATTTTAAAAATGCCCTCCTCTCTATCAAGTCCCCTAAGTAGCAGAGCCAGAAGTTTATCTCTAACTAAATTCCTATCCAAGGAATCCTTTGAGATACAGTTCTTCAAACTCACTCATTTTTAGATAGGAAAAAAATCCCCATCAGTATGTTTTCTTCCTGGATATCTTTACATACACAAATACTCAACCTCTAAAATTTCCTATCTCTCTTCACTTAACATTATGTTATTACACTTAAGTACAAAAAAGGAAAACTTACCGAGAATGACTTAAGTATGAAGCTTGGCGATCAATCTCTTCTGCGTCTATTTCTACAGGATTTATTACAGCTAGTTGATCAATAGACCACCTAAATTTCCCTGGAGTCTTAAAAGAAGAAAGTGAGCTCATGAGTAATAGAAAACTAAAACAGTTCATCAAAATGCTAACCAATGTCACCTTCAAAATTAATGTGAATGCTATAAAGAGCTTCTATTTAAAATTTTGACTTTAGGGCTAGGGCTATAGCTCAGTGGTAGAGCACTTGTCTAGCACGTGAGAGTCACTGGGTTTCATCCTTAGCACCACAAAAAATTAAAAACAAACAAAATAAAGGCATGTTATCTACCTACAACTATAAAAAAATTTAAAAAGAAATTTTGACTTTACCACTAAATGGCAAATGATAATCAACTTATATTAAATCAACTGGCTTGGCAATGTCTCTTAAAATATCAAAATTTTCCATGGAGTGATTTAAAAAATTACATAAAAATAGAAGAATCACAATTGTGTAGCAAAGGTATAGCAACACCACAATTAATACTCAACAGTGGTACACCATGCCCATATAAATATTAAAATCTCTCAGAGTTATCAAAGATCCTTATTTTCACTAAGAATGAACTGAAATTTAAAGTCCTAACTACAGGAGCAGCTACAAAAGCTCACAAAATAGTTGATCCTTCGAATTATATTAGTTGCAACTAGTGCTTCTCTATATTCAACTATCCAACTGATTCAAAAACTTATCCAAATCCTAATTTTGGAACTAATAATTCTAGATGAACTCAGGCCTAAAAACTCAAGATGCTATACATTCTAGCTTTGAGAATTAAATTAGTCATTCCATTACTTACTTTAATTAAGATCAAAAGATGACTAAGTTTTAACATGATTCAATTAAAAATCACAAGGTCAAATTAATGAGATGATTCCATCTGAACTGTAACATGGCCTGACTTTCCTCAAGTACACACCTGCTCACTGCCCAAGCCGATATGAAAGTACAATAGAAACAATCACTTGGTTTGCAGTTTTTCTAGGTAACTAACTAGGTTAACAGACTTCAAAAAAATATTTTCCAGTGTAGCAAATAACTATAAAAACAAACTAAAGGAACGAAGTCTTCTCTAATCTAAGTAGCATTTTCCCTTTCACATCTCCTCTGTGCTAACTGCTAATCATGGCAAATATCACACTGCTTTGAAACTGCTCATTCAGTTGAATCTATTCATTAGCATAGGAGTTGGTTTCTTTTTATCACAGCATAGAAGCTAAGAACATTTTTAAGTGGTTAAACTCAAAAACAATATTAAACATCACAACATAAAAATTAAATGAAATTCAAATTTCAGTCTACAAATAAAGCTTTATTAGAACACAGCTAGCATTTATTTATTTCACACATTGCCCATGGCTGCTTTTTTGATTCAAGGCAGAGGTGAGTAGTTTGACAATGACCAGATGATCTGCAAAGCCTAAATATTTCCTGTCCAACCCTTTACAGAAAGTTTGCTGTTTCCTGTACTGGAGGAGGAGGAGCTCACCAGGGGTTTATACCTAATGATTCTAACTTATACACTGTGTAACACCTATGCTAAGCAATGGATCTGATACAAAGCAGCACTCAAATCTTGTTTCTTTAACAATTTAGATAGGTAATTAGAAAATTTTAATTAGAAAATTAAAAAACTAATATTGTATTCTCTAATACAATATTAGTAGATATATCATCAGTCACAGTACCTAGTTACACATACAATGACAGAATGCTAAAGTTATTTCTTGAATTATTGAAAAAAAAACAAATGCTAGTTAGATAGGAGTAAGAAATTCTGATGTGCTATTGCCCAACAATTATGTACTTTATTTCAAAAAGCTAAGATTTTATGTTTTTGCCATAGACATAAAAAACGTTTGAGATGGATGTTTATTCTGATTGAAACATTACACAACATATGCATGTACCCAAATTTCACTTGTGTCCAATTTTTAGATATCAATTAAAAATTAATTTAAACCAGGCACGGTGGCACATGCCTATAATCCTAGTGACTTGGGAGGCTGAAGCAGAAGAATCACAAATTCAAAGCCAGCCTCAGCAACTTAGTGAAGGCCTAAGCAAGTAGCCAGGCCCCTATCTCAAAATAAAAAATTAAAAGGGCTAGGGATGTGGCTCAGTGGTTAAGTACTCCTGGGTTCAAGCCCAGATACAAAAAAAACCCAAAAAACAAAAAACCCTAATTTAAGTAAATTTAATTTTTTTCTTTATTCCCTATTTTTATTGGTGAATATATAATGGTGGGATTCATTGTTCTATATCTGTACATGCAAACAATATAATACAGTATAATTTGGCCAATATCATTCCCTAGTATTTCCCCTTTCTTTCCCCCTGGTCCCTTTCCTCTACTCTAGTGATCTCCCTTCAATTTTTATAAGAAACTTACCACCCTTCTTTTCCTTTTTCCTTTTTAGTTTCTACATATGAGAGAAAATCTAGGACCCTTGACTTTGTGAGTTTGGCTAATTTCACTTAACAAAATGTTCTTAAGTTTTATCCATTTCCCTGCAAATGACATAATCCCATGCTTCTTTATGGCTGAATACAACTTCATTTGTATATATACCACATTAATTTTAAAAATTAATTTTTTAAAAAGCAAGTGCTAACTGAAAATTTGTCTACCTAACTTATTATTAGCCTAACCACTAGATTATAGTGAACACTACAATTTAAAAAGCACACTGCAGCTATATATGTTCCATAATGTACTTTCTCCTTACTTTGTAGAAGATATTTACATTTAAATATAATTGTAAACTCTAGTTAAGAACAACTTACTGGTAATTTTGTGGATTTAAAAACAGAAGGACTGGCAAGAGTTTGTTCATGAAGAATAGAGTAATCACCAGGACTTTCAAAAGGATTTAAAACAGGGATCCTTCCTGGAGTTTCGGGTGTTATTTGCATTTTTAATTCTTTGACATCTCCCATGGCACAGAAAACAAACTACAAAGAAACCAGAAGTACACATATTAAAATCACAAAGTATCATACATGTTAATTCTGACAATTAAAATGTGGTCAGCACACACATATTTCACAAAAAGAATTAGCTTCAAACCTAACACTCATAGTTTGTACAAGAAACATCACACTTTCTCAAGTGATCCTTGACATAATCTTGTTACAAGTAAAATATCAGTGCTATCATTTTGTTGTACAGTAAGGCAAACACGAGTCCAGAATCGACTTTGAAGCAACTAAATATTATAATAGGCACAAATACTTTTCGACTAACGGGCTTCCATCGGTAGTTTTTTATTAATTATCTCATGCAATCCCCTATCAAACTGCAATTATTATTAAACAATTCCTAGTAGCAAGCAAATAAGAAATGAGGAAGCTGGCGCATGGGTGCCCTTCTTGCACATTAGCCTGTGAAAAAAGAAGTATGACTGAAAGGATCCAGGGAATTAACTGCCTCTGGTTGCCATTCCCCAAACATCTCCTTTTACCACCACCCCCCTCCACCTCGAAAGAGTAAGCGCGACTGCATTACTTCCAGTCACAGGGTGCGAGGACTAGAGAAAAAGAAGAATCTACTTCTTAGAAGACTGAAATACCGCTGGCTTCCTTGGGTGAAGAGCAGTGGAGTGTCACCCTGGTCCTAGATTACTCAGAGCGCCCCTCTCTTCGACACGTACTCCCCCACTGCTCCCATTCCTCCATGGGGTGGGTGGAGGGCCAGGTCTGGAGCTGGGAAACTGAGCTCTCCAATTCGAGACAGGAGGAAAGGCTGGGAGTCACAAGAACGTACCTAAAGGTGTGTACAAAAAGGAAGCCCCAAATATCCACTCCAGGGGGCTCCCAGGGGGCCCGGCCAGCTCCCACGACAGTCAGACTCTTTAACTCCTAGCTTCCGCGCTGTCTTAGGCCAACCAGGGCACCGGGCTGGGGGCCGACTGGCCAATGGCGTAGCACCGCTGTCCGCGAACCAGCCAATCGTATCGAGGCGCCGGAGTAAATTCGAAAGGCAACTCCTCGCTCTTCATTCCGCGCTAAGTAACGAGGCTCCAAATTCAAATCAACGCAACCTCACGTTGGCGACGAGCACGAGGGGCGGAGCTTTTCCGGCGTGTGCCCCGACGCGCGCTGTGATTGCCCAGGAGAAAGGAAGGCGCTCCAGTTCCGGGTCAGGCCCTTCTCCCGCCTCCCTCAGCCTCCGCCATGGCGAGTGGCAGCGGCGCCGGGTCGTCGGCGACCGCGGCGGCGAATCTGAATGCGGTGAGGGAGACCATGGATGGTGAGTGCCCGTTGCGCTCCCTCTACCTTGCTTCCACTTCCCGCAGCCAAGGCCCCCAGGATTGGGGAGCACGAAGAGGGCGTGCGGTCTTCCTCCAGCCCAAAACGGCATCTTTGAAGGTCCACGAAGGGACCCGCTAGCACCGCATAGCTGATGGCCCATCCCTTGAGAGTTGTCTCTCGGCTCCGGTGTAGTTAGTCGCGCGCACGGCGTTCTGGCCCTCGCGTCTGCCGGTTGTGCCCCTGAGACCTCGAGGACCGCGCCTTTGCGTCCCACGTCTCGCGCGACCCGCTTCTGTCCTCCCGCGCCCGCCCGCGCTCAGCACCCTTTCAGCGCGCAGTCGGAGCGCTCAGGAAGCCGGCGGAACTGGAAACCCCCAGAATATGAGTAGGGGGTGTGCAGTCACCGCTCTGTTTCATGCCCCTGGCACTTCAGTAGGCGCTGTTTAAGTATCCGGCGAATGAACAAGGCGCCCCTTCATCGTAATTGCTCCAGTTAATTTTGGAGCAGATGACTCAGGTGCCCGGGTGCTGTGGCTATGGTTTCCCGTTATCGCGCCCCGCCCGAGGCATGTGGGCATAGATCCTGCACACCTGTATAGACGAAAAAGGTGTCTTCGAGTTAACCTCCTCTACCACTAGTATTTCTGAAGTGAGCTTGGTTAGGCTACTTTGTTTTCACCCTGTAAAATAAAACCCTACCTCCCAAGGATGATTGTGAATATTAAGTAAGACAACTAGGTAAAGGCATATCAAAGGCGATCAGCTTTATCTCTTTTTACTCGCAACCTTCTAAGTGTGTTTTGAGGAATGTTAAATATTGCGAATTATAGTTCGTCTTGACATTTTCCAGGAGTTACCTGTATCAGTCTCCTACTCTGTTAGAATATAATTCTGTAGAATTCTCACTGGGTTTGTCAGCCATTCTGCCCCGTCTCCTTCACTGAAGTTCTTATATAGCCCCTCCAAATGGGAGCTTCTGATAGAGGCTTCTGGATTTTTCTTCAGTGACTGCTGCTTTCCTTTTCAAATAATTGTTTATACTAATAGAGCATTTGCATCTAATTTTTTTTCCTAACCACTACTTTGCTGTTTTAATGAGACTCTCATTCTTAACATCCTATCAGCTTATTTTTTCATCCTTCTTGTGCCTCACAGATTATTAGTTTTGTTTTGAAAGTGACTTTATGTACATAAGGGATTGGTATGTATATAACATTACCACATTGTATCTTTCCTTGGAAGCCAGTGTATTTTTGGAATAGGGCAAGAAGTATGAGGCCTTGCTTCTAGCCAATTTTCTCACATTACCTATGTTTAGGGTCCTTATTTATATAGCTGTAGGATCCCATATGAATGAATAACTGCTATTTTATGCCTGGTGGAAATGAGGATGCACAAATGAGAACTAATATTTTGCATCATCAAGGTCTTTCCTAAGAGAATTAATGTAAAATGAAGATAATAAAGAGTGAAAGAACAAATAAAAGACAAGACCAGAGTTTTTTTGATTGCTGTTTCCCTCAATAGCAGCTACTGTATCTTCCCTCAAGACCTAGTACATTTCTCTTCACCTTCTTCCTCCTTTTCATACATTAATCAGTTTACAGTGATTTAAACTTTTAATAGATGTCAGTGATTGGCAAGGGTTGCAGAACCCAGCAGTAAAAATTTTCATTTTAATCATGAAATGAAAGGATTTTGTTAACGATACTTCAAACTTGGGAGGAAGCTGGTAGTCCTTTTAATTTTTCTGCACATATTATATTTTCCAATACCTTCCTAAAGTTCTAAAATCTTTATTAGGTTCTTAGTGGATTTGCATATCTCCCTTATCTCGTATTTTACACCCATTTAGTCTGTTAATAACATTGACTTCACACTAGCTATTCAGGTATGTGAATTTACAAGCTGTGTTCTTTGATATCATTTTAAAATTTATTATTATTATTATTAGTTTTAGGTGGACACAATATCTTTATTTTTATGTGGTGCTGAGGATTGAACCCAGTGCCTCATGCATACTAGGTGAGCACTTTACCACTGAGCTACAACATCAGCCCTGCTATCAGTTGTTATTCTTCTGCCTGACTCTGGTTGATTTCTGTTCATTTCTGGAATCTTAAGATTATTACTTCTTTAGACCAGTCTTTCTGAAACACTGTCCTTCCAAACTTGGCAAGATGCCTTTGTAATTCATTACAGGATTATGTTGTTTTCTATTATTTTACTTAGAACTGGAATCTTAGTCTGTCTTGAGATACTATACCAGAATATCTGAGACTGGGTAATTTGTAAACAGCAGAGATTTATTTCTTGCAGTTTCAGAGGCTGGAAAGTCCAAAGTTGAGGGGCTTGCAACTGTCAAGGGCCTTCTTGCTGCATCATCTCATGTGGAAGGTGAAAGAACAAGAGTACACTGTACAAGGGGTTGGGGGTGATTCATCCTTTAACAGGAACCCTCTCCCAAGGGATAGCTAACCCACTCCTGGAGTGATGACATTAATCCATTCCTGAGGACAGAGCCCTCATGGTTTAGTCACCTCTCTACCTCTCAATGCTGTTGCATTGGGGATCAAGTGCCTTATCTATGGATTTTGGGAAACACATTCAAACTCTAGCAGTCAGTTATTTTAATACCTATCTCTCCTAGACCATAATGTCTGTGAGGACTAGAATCTCTAACTGTCTGCACAATTATCTTTCAAGCAGTAGCATAATAAGGTGATGTGCATGTGGTACTAATTACACAGTAGGCTATTTCCTTAAGGAAATAATTAATGTTTACAAATAGCTTGTGTCAATACAAAGTAAAGATCAATGTCAACTTAAAAACAGACCAAAGCTTAAAGAAAGAAATAACTAAAACTGAGATGAATTCAAAAGACAATATGGAATTATATGAAAGAATAAGTTAAGGCAGAAGAGGAAAACATCAACAAAGTTATAAAGTTAAAAATAAGTATAGCATTTATAGGTAGGGAGTCTACCATGAAGAAAACAAACGGGAAAGAAGAAAATTTGTCAGGAACAGTTAATCATGATGATGATGGTGATGGTACAGTTAGAGTAGGATCTGAGTATCTGTTCTAGTTATCTGTTGCTGCAAAACAAACCACCCCATAAAACAAAGATTTCTCTCTCACAGTTTTAGGTGTTGACCAGACTAATCATGATAGTTATTACTGAGGATCTCATGGATTTCATTTAGACAGAAGCTAAGTCAACAGTCATCCCAAAACCCCCTCCTTAACTTACCTTCTAAGTGATGCTGAATATCATGTTGACCCTCAGCAGGGGCTGTGCTCTAAACATGAGGTTCCCTCATACTTGGTGGATGGTTTCAAGGGAAAGTGACTCAAAAGAGCCAGGAGGAAGCTAAATTGCCTTTTTAAACCTTGCCTTGAAAGTCAGTACAGTGTCATTTTTGGAAAATACAGTTTACCGGTTGTCCTAAGCATAGCTGCACATTCTTGATTTGTAAATCAAGAATGCAAGGCCATAAGTGCAGTACTCTTTTCCTTGGGTACTTCTCAAGTGTGTTTATAGCAAACAACAATGAGAAATGGGGCAGCATGTACCCCTAGATAAAATGCAGGCTTGCTTAACACAAAAAAATCCTAACAAGAAAATGTTACATTTTTAACATGGTTAATTAACAGATAACTATAAAAAACCAACTCCATCCTTAATGCTATTGTTACATGCATTCCAAATAAAATTGGAAACACTTGCTTTCACAGTTTTGTAAAAAAAATACTAATTTTAAGAATTTGACAAATAGCATGAAAAATGATGATTAAAAAGAAGATGAAACTTATTTGTAGGTGAAGTGATCTGACTAGAAAATATAAGAATTGAAAATTTGTTAGAAACTTCAGTAGACTTTGTTACAGTAACTGGCTATAAAATAAAAATTGTAATATCCCCATATATTCAGAGGGAATAAACAAGGATCATAAAACAAACAAACAAACAAAAAACAATGGAAGTAGAATCCATTTGTGAGAACAGTCAAAAATAAAACTTACAGAAAGTAAAGATTCAGTATGTCAGTTGAACACTTGCTGAAATTTTCTACATCAAGTGTATGAAAATGATAGAAAATAATAAGGTAATATAATTATCAGTATAGCCATATTCAAAAACAAGAAAAGGAAGTCTCCATTGATTAGAGAGGTTTTCCCAAAAGAAAGGAGCAGATGGGAACCACAGCAGGGTATTGGGAATAGAACCTGAGAAAGCATGCGGGCTTGCCTGAGCAAACCTGGAATCAGAAATGTACCATCTGCCATGGCCAGTGACTGAGAAGCACCACCCATTTGTTTTCTGGGTCTAGAGCCAAGATTCTTCTACAAGGCCTGAACCAGAGGGCTGAGATAGGGTGAGACTATCTGAGAACATATCAGCAACCCAGGATGTACAAGAGAAATTCCCTATAAAAAAATGAATTTTTACAGTCAAGAATGATAGAACCTAAGAGGTGGAAAACAACTAAAATGGAAAATTAAAATGATAGTGTGCTAGTAATAGCTAGCCCTTTATTGAGCACTACTGTATGCCTAGCTGCATCCTAAAGTGAATCCGTTAATCCTAACCCTAATTCTATAAAGTCTTATTACCTTCATTTAATGCAGTGGTAAAATAAATACACTTTCCTAATAATAATTTACTTATCTAGTAATAAAGCTAGGTAGTCTGTCTACCTAGAACCCAAGTAGTCTGTTTCTAGAAATTACATTTCTAACCACTCGTAGGGAAGCAGATTATGGCTCAGTCTCAAAAACACATTAAGACTATAGCCTTAAATATTAAGACAAAACAACAGCAATAAGATAATAGATGGTTAAAGTATTAGTAAATAGGACAATCAAAGCTAAAGAAATGAAAATAGGAACGGCCATCAGCTTTCACCACAGAGTAGCAATTTACTTTCTTTGAACAAAACACAGGTAAAACATACAGGACAAAGGTTTTCAAGATACTGGACCTTAGGCATCAAGGACAATAGTCCCTGAAGGAGAGCAAACAAATGAAGTAAGCTGTCCGTTGCAGATTGCCTTCAGAGAGTTTTCCAGGCCTCTCTGCAGCCTGGTACACAGCTTATCTCCCTGATTGCAAGCTGAACACAGGCATCTACTGGGGTTTACCTGATTTCCCATGCTGCAGAACAGAGTACCTGAAAAGGAAGAACCAAAGAGAATTCTGGAGATCTGGAGAAGAATCCCCTTTTATATTCAACAGAGCATTGAGTAGTACTTTGTGGGGTGGGGTCGGGTGGGGGCACACAGAAAGTTAGGGAAAGAACTATCCAAAAGGTTTGAGAGAACAATATACCATGCTCACACAGGGTGTAGGCATAGTGCCATTCTGTCAGAATGAAAACCGTTTGTGAAACACTGGGTAGAGTTCTTGGAAAAGTCTTGTCCCAGTAGTGGGGAATAATTGGCTCTACACTAAACAGGGCTCTGGTTCTGCCTAACAGATCTGAAGAGTATGGCCTGAAAGGATCAGATTGTTTCTGGATAACTTTCATTACAAAACTCAAGGATATATATGGAAATCAAAAAATACCTAGCACCCAAGAAAATTCTCAACTTGTGGTATCTAATTGAAGATTGCCAGATAAGCAAAGTAGTATGGCTCATTGGGGAAAAAAATTCAGTTAACACAGATAGAAATGACACAGATGTTAAAATTAGACAAAAGTATTAGAACTGTCCTTGTTCAAAAAGTTTAATAGAGACATGGAAGACATACAGATAATGCAGATGTTTTGAAGTGGGGATTGAACTCAGAGGACCTCATGCATGCTAGGCAAGTGGGCTTTACCACTGAGCTACTTCCCTAGTCCTTGTTAAAAATTGTTGGTACTGGAGATTGAACCCATTAGTGATCTACCACTGAGCTCCATCACTAGTCCTTTTCAGTTTGAAACAGGGTCTTGCTAAGTTTCTGAAACTGGTCTTGAACTTGTGATCTTCCTACTTCAGCCTCCTGAGTCACTTGGATCACAGGCATTTACCACTATACCCGACTTAAAATTTCATTTTCAGACAGGTTTTCACTGAATTTCCCAGGGTAGACTTGCACTTGTAGTCTTACCTCAGCCTTTGAGTAATTGGGATTATAGATGTGTACCACCTCACTCAGCTAACAGTATTTTTAAGACTGTAGCTTCTAGAGATGAAAATGAATGTCTGATATGAAAATGTCTGATACTCTAAACATTTTTAGTACTTAGACTTAAATTAGTAGGTGAACAGACACCATTGTTAACTTGTTCTTATAATTAGTAGTTTTCATGGAATTCAGATAACTATTTAAAGGGGATTTGTTTTTGAAATGGATGAAAAATTATAGAGAATAAGAGGGCTTACTTTAAGTACCTGAAAGGTGACAGGAATCTTTAACCTACTACATGCAATATGAAATTAGTAATCAAAATTGTGTCTCTGGGATAAGCCAAACATGTATCAGATCTGTAGGATATTTACTGTGTGATAAAGGTGGCATCTCAGTTGAGTGATAAAATGAAAGATCATTTAATAAATGGTATTGTGGCAGTTGGCTTATTTCTGAAAGGAAAGTTAGGTCCTATCTTCTACCCAAACTCCAGGAAATTAAATATTTAAATGTTTATGGAATGGAAGAAAATACTGGTGAATACAATTGTTTCATGGGGAATAACTTTCTAAGCATGATGCAAAGGGAAATGATAAACAATAGATTATGTTAACAGTTGACTTCCATTCTAAACACACTGGGAAACAACATTAAATAGTTCAATGGAATCATTATTATGTATACATCATGTAATAGAAGGAATTCCTGGAAAATCATTTTGGTAACCTGGGTTCTCTGTGGTAGTACTTCTCATAAGAAAGAGAGATGCTTTTGTAAACTGCAGTACTGGAAGAACAAAGCTAGAAAAAACAAATTCCAAGCTTTTATTTTTATTGTTAAGTCAACAGATATGATTACTCTGTCAAATTGTTATAAAACTTTCCAAGCTCTCTTAAATCCTTAAATATATACATTACTGACTGAGCAGTTCTTATTGTAGTAAAGTTAGTGTGTACAGATATTATTTTATTGGGGGAGATAGGAGAGTCGCCTAACTCTTTTTCTTGGTATGGGGAATTGAACTCAGGCACTTGACCATTGAGCCACATGCCCAGCCCTATTTTGTATTTTATCTAGAGAAAGGATCTCATTGAGTTTCTTAGTGCCTCACTGTTGCTGGGGCTGGCTTTGAACTTGCGATCCTGCTGCTTCACCCTCCCAAGCCACTGGGATTATAGTCATGCGCTAACACACTAACTCTTAAAATGGAATGAATATTTATAGTGTTCCCATGGAATAAATGTTGTGTGACTAATTAAATCCTATTATCAAAAAAGAGTATTTAAAAATAGGAAAGTGTCTTTAATCAGTATTAATAATGGATTTCCAAATCCTGTTTGCAAATAAGAATATATGAATTAAAAGTACTATGTGCATATTTTTAAATGCTGTAAGTTTTTTTTTTTTAAGTTTTCTTTATGTGTTTTTGTAGTTCTGCTTGAGATTTCAAGAATTTTGAATACTGGCTTAGATATGGAAACACTGTCTATTTGTGTACGGCTTTGTGAACAAGGAATTAATCCAGAAGCTTTATCATCTGTTATTAAGGAACTCCGCAAGGCTACTGAAGCACTAAAGGTTAGAGATTCATGTGTTTGTTCATTCTAAATAAAGATGCTTTTGTTTGGAAAATGATTGATTATGAAGTTAGGTAAAAAAAAATCCTAGTTAGGCAAGGTTAGATTAACTTCTAACAACAATAGGAGGAATTCTAAAGACCAGGGACTTTACAGCATATGTTCAGATCACTAAATTACTGTTATTATTTCCTCAAAAGTCTCTAGAGTTTTTCTATGTGGTGAGTTAAATCTGCCTCCAAAAAAATATGCTCAAGTCCTATTCTCTGATACCCATGAATATGACCTTATTTAGAAATAATGTCTTTGTAGGTATAACCCAATTAAGGTGAGGTCATGATTAGGGTAGCCCCTAACTCCAGTGGATGATATCATTACTAAATAAGGGAAATTTGGACACAGACAATAGAATGGTGAAGACACAGTAAGTAGGGAGAAGGACATGTGTTGGTGGAGGCTGGTATTATAGAGTGATGCATCTATATATAAGTCAAGAAAAGCCACAGGTTATCAGCAGCTATTAGAAACTGGAAAGAGGCAAGGAAGGATCCTCCCCTCGAGCCTTTGGAGAGAGTGTAGCCCAACTGACATCTTGATTTTGGACTTCTGAACCTCCAAAATTGTAAAAACTATACATATTCCTATGTTCTTAAGGCCACCCAGTTTGTGGTATTTTATTTTGCAGCCCTAGAAGCCTAATACAGATTTTAAGACCAGGAAGTAGGACAAAACAAACACTGGAACAAATACTTCAGAATGTTTAAGTGGCTTTGGAATTGGGAAATAGAGAGAGACAAAAGTTTAAGGTGCTTAATAGAAAAAGCTTAAATTGCCTTGAAGAAACTTTATAGAACTGTAAACACTGAAGGTGCTTCTAGTGAATGCTCAGAAGAGAGGAGAGTTATAGAGGAAGATTCATTCCAGAGAACATGTCAATTATTAGGAAGAGAATGTTGCTGAAAGTATGAACATTAAAAGCACTCTGGTGCAGCCCCAGTCACAAAGAGGAACATTTATTGGACACTAAGGGACAGGTGACCTTTGTTATAAAAGTGACAGAACTTGACTGAATTATGTTCTATATTAGAAGGAGAATTGACTATGTAAGTAATGAACTTGGATATTTAGCTGAGGAAATTTCCAAGCAGAAGTGTGAAAGATGCAGCCTGATTTCTCTTTGTTGCGTATAATGTAATGTGAGAGGAATGAGAAATTGAAGAAGGAACTGCTAAAAGAACCCAGCACTTGATTTGGAAAATTCTTAGCCTATCTGGATAGCATGCTCTGCAGACAGGGCCAATTTTGTGGCTAGCAAACCTGTTTGTGAAAAGATTACGTGTGATACAGACCCAGTCAGCCACCTTGGCACAGACATAGTTGGTTTAGACTGAAAGGCAAAAAGTGAAGTGAAGAAATGCTTTCTGATTACTGGAATTTTGTAGGCTGGAAATTGACCTAGAGAGCTACTTAGCTGTGAAAATGTGTTATTCTTCAAGGAAAGAGGGGCATGGACTCAACTGTGAGCATGCGTTATCCTTCAAGAAAAGGGGATGAGAGGCTCAGAGACTGGGGGACACTGCCGTTGCCAACCTGAACCCACAAAGCTTTATTTTTTCCAGATTCAACATGTTTCCAATCTTAGCAATTAAAAGGTATTTAGTATCATGTTCCCTCTCTTGCTTGCACACAGTCTCTGCTTTAAAATCTGTGGTCAGTTTATTTCCGTGTTTATATGGCACTAACTACAAATAGTGAAACGAAGTTATTCCATTAAAACTTGTCCAACAACAAAGTGATTTCTCTTTTACCTCTGAGAGAATGGAACTCTGAAACATGTAACTAACCCATCTTTCAAATTAAATTATTTTCGAAAGAGTTCCAAAGTTTGGGGTATTTGCTTTTTAATACCTTTTGATTATTAAATCTAACAGAAATGTAATGAAATTGCATTTATACAAGATTTATCATAAAATGTCCACATTAATTGTCAATGCCTGCACCCTAGAAATTACCTTGTATCCTCTCCCTAATTGCTAACCTTTCCGTCTACTCCCTTCTGCCAGTAACTGCTATCCTGACATTTATTCTTTCAATAGTTTATTCACTAAACTTGGATCTCTAAACACTAGTTTATTTTTGTAAAATTTTTGAGCTCCACAATAAATGGAATCTTACCAAAATCTTTTTACTGGGTTCTTTCATTTAACATTATGTCTGTGAGGTTCATCTATGTTGCCTATAGCTATAACACATCCTTTTTCCCTGAAATGTTTTATTTGACAAATATACCAGTTTATTCTTTCTATTGTTAATAGATATTAAGTGTTTCCAGTGTGGGCTCTTCCCACTCAAAGCTGCTTTGAGCATTTGTAGTTCACGTTTCCTTTTTTTTTTTTTTTTTTTTTCTTTTTAGGTATACATGACAGTAGAGTATATTTTGACATATTATACATACATGGAATATAACTTTTTCTAATTAAGATCCCATTCTTGTGTACACAGAGTCCATGTCTCTTAATGCATGTATATATACATTTCTGTTAGGTGTTTATCTAGAAGTGAAATTGCTGGGTCTTAGATTATGTTTTTCCTCTACTTGAATAAATAGTTATAGTGCCAAACATTTCAAAAATATATTCCTACCAGCTTCATGACTTTCTTTTTGCTTCATATCTTTTCATTGTTTATTCTGAGTCTTTAAAATTTTAGTCATTCTGGGGTATATATGAGTTTTTCATTCTGTTTGATTTGCATTTCTGAGTACCAAGGAGGTTGAATGCAATTTTACATGGTTTTTTTTTTTTTTTTTTTAAGATATCTTTCCAAGTCATTTGCCCATCTTTCTAGGTTGTCTTTTTTAACTCATATTTGTAACTTTCATAACAAAGAAAAACAACTGGATAATGTCATAAGAATAGCTAGTATTTTTATACAAGTACTTTCCTTTTGGTAGAGCCAATGCTATCTTGGCATTATTTCCTCTAGTCACATAGTAATATGTGCTGCTAAGGAAACTGAAGCAATAGTGATTGATTTAACCTAAGTACTTAGAATTAAGTGGTTGAGCTAGAATTTTAAGTTAGGCTGACCTCAGAGCTATTTACTTGACTACTGAGTTTCTCCCTACAATAGTATCTAAAGAGTATGTGAGCCAGCTATTTAGGGAAAGATGAAATGGTTCTTGGAAGCCAAATAGTCATTAGGCTGTGATGTGGGAACATTTCATCATTCAGTATTCTTTAATAATTCTGTAGATAAAAATTAAAACTATTAATAGTCTTTCATCAAAATGTTTCTGAAATATTATTTGTTTGATAAACATCTTCCAGAACTAGAAGATTAATTTTTCTTGAATTATGCTCCAATTTGAAAGAGAATAATCAGAATAGAAAGTAATTTTTATATTATACCACAGTTTGGAACTCAAGGGAACCCAAGGCAAATAAACCAACTAAGACAGGAGACACACGTAAGTGTTTGGTGTAGCATTTTCTTAGGTAACATACAACCCATGGTATTAAGATAGGAGGTTCAGAAATAACCTATTTGACATAGCTTTTCAATTCTAAGCATTCTCATATGGACCATAGTGAGATGTGGGTGGCAGAATCCAGAAGTAAGATTTACAAAATCAGAAACTGTTGGCCATTTGAATAGAAGATTAATCTGCCTCACACACAAATCCTCTATAATGCATTCTCCTGTAATGTAAAGTGAATAAACCAGCATCTCATTAAACTAGAAAGGATAAGATGCTGAAACATTTCTAGCTAGGAAGAAATGCTAATTTAAATTTTTTTCTTTAATTTATGTAAACATAAAAATCATACATGGTCATAATTTTAAATTCCTTAAATTGGAAAACTTCAAAGAATGACACAAAAAGGTTATCTAAGAAATAACTAGCAATGATATTTGCTGATATCATTCCAAAAAGTATGATGCGTTTTTAAAAATAAAGTATACTTAATTTCACTGAATTATAAAAGAAGAATAGCTTGTTCATTTGCTTCTCCCTGGATTAGACTCTATTTCTTAACTACTATATTGGGGTTGACTAGGTTGCTGTTTGGTTTAGAGCTGCCTTGAGCCCCACCTGACTTCTTGACAGACTTAAGTGTCAGATTGGTTTTTGTTTGTTTTGTTTTGTTTTTGTATCATTGCTGCTAATAATTTTTTTTTCTCATTTTTGTTTTCTTCTTTTGGCTTTAAAATTAGGGTAAAGAAAAACTGTTCCTGTTCCATTGTACTATTTTTATCTAGAATTGAATTGTATGGTACTTACCGTCTCTGTTTTAGAATGCATAAAATGTAAATCAGGGACATCTTGAAATGTTGCAAGGAACTCTTAACTACATAGAAAATGTTAACAATTTTTATGGATTTTTTTTAACCTTTCAGAGATTTGTGTATTGATAGCATCTAGGTAGCTAGCTCCTGTCTCCAGTTAGATAAATTCTTTAGCAATAGTAGATAGGCTACTATATGTGTAAAATAAGGCAAAACAGCAAAATAGGATTGCTAATTAAGTATATTTTATAAATGATTCTTTATTGGTACTGAATTTTTATATTATCTTCCCAGTACTAGTATTTATGTTTGAACAGTACTATTTGAGAAATTCTGGACAAAACCCACTTGGCATCGTCTTTTGTTTTAATGTGGTGTTCTTTGAATTATATCGTTATTGACACACCTGTAGACACTCTGTCTCTGTCTCTCTTTCTTCCCCTCTTCTTCTCTTCCTCTACTCCCCCCCCCTTCCTCTCCTTCTATCTCCCCTTCTCTCTCTTTCCCCTTCTTACCATCTCTCTCTCTATATGATACTGAGGGTTGAACCCAGGGCCATTGTACCACTGAGCTACATCCCCAAAGCTCTTTTTATTTTTTATTTTGAAGCATGGTCTTGCTAAGTTGCTGAGGCTGATCTGGAACTTTGGATCCTCTTGCCTCAACAGTTAATAGGCGAGGGCTATCACACCTGGCTGCCTTGCCCTTTTTCTTGATGTCCTGTACTATTACTAATACCTTTGGGTACATCTGTGTTGTCCTTTCACTGTGTAGGAAGATCTGCCATATGAGGATATTGGAGCTATAGAATTTGGAGTTGAGAGAAATTAAAGATTAAATAATTCTCATGTCCCCAAGGTAGGAAAGGAGTAAACCCTTACATAGAAAAGGGATGTTTGGAATAGAGGACTATTGAATTTTGACTTTTCCCAGGACTGATCCTTGGTAAATTTTGGGAGTGTTTAGTGGTGATCTGGTAACTATATGGATCTCTAGGGTGCTATTGTTATTTTTTCAGATAGAAAGCTCTGCATTTATATAAGAAAAATGCTACAGTATTACTTTCCTACAGTAAAAATACTTGTTTTGATGTCTGTATATTGGAGGAGAATTTCTATAATTAATACGAAAAAGGAACAAGACAAATTATATTTGAATTAAAGCAAAAATTGTATATATAATTTCAAGTCTTTATTAATAGATAATACTGAATATAGGTGATACTGAGAATGCAGCTAGGGAGATAACAGTGCCTAAAGGTATGTAGCTAAAGCTATTGTAGGAACCTATAAGAATAGAAATTATTTTAAAATGTGGAATTACTTTAAACTAGGTTCTAATTCTCTTGAGTAGTAAATACAGAGGAGGGAAATTCTATTGTAAGTGAGGGTTTGGGAGCTGCCTAAACTATAGGAAAAAAAGTCTGTTCTGCTTGTAAAGAAAAGGTTTCAGCCTTATTTCAGATTGCATTATTTACCATTCATAAGTATTTTATAATTAAAAGAATTTATAATTCTTTTCATGAAAGAATTCTGAACTTAATCTACACTAAAAGCAAGTTTTAATTAGGAAGTAGAAATAAAATATATTAAAAGTCTCACATATTTCAAAGATCAAATTTGTCATTTTCATATTGGCATTAAAAAATTACTTTTTTAGCTAGGCATGGTGGCACATGCCTGTAATCCCAGTGGCTTGGGAGGCTAAAGCAGGAGGATCTCAAGTTCAAAGCTAGCCTGAGCAACTTAGTGAGACCCTGTCTCGAAATAAAATATAAAAAGAGCTGGGGGTGTGACTAAGTGGTTAATCACCCCTGGTAGAAATAAATAAATAAATTACTTTTTTTTAGATCTGTTAATAGTACATGTTTTTTTTTGGGGGGGGGGGGTTGTTGTTGTTGTTTTTATACATGCCAGACCATTTATTGATGAATAATAGAGTACATAGGAGTTTCTTTAGAGACAAGTGGGAAAGTATAGTTTTGGAGGGGAATAGGTGAATAGGTAAGGCAAGATTAGCCAAATGTTTATTATTCCTTTTTGTTCTTGTAGCATTAAAAGGTTTTTTTTTTTTTTTCATTCTTAATTTCCTTTTTGCATTACAATAAAACATAGAAAAGAGATTAATGAAGATTAAGGTATGTCATAGGTTAATTTTTCAAGTAGCAGAACATTTTTACACATACTCTTATTAACTTCTATTGAAGATAATATAACTGTTTACTACTCTTAACCTAGCAGTAAATTTAAAAAATAGTTCTGATTTAGAACAAAAACAATGAAAACCACTGTATTCTGATAAAAGTGGTTTAGTTGCATGAGAAAATAGTTGTTTGCTAAATAAGGTGTAGTGTAGTATTAACAAATTTATTTATCTCCATGGTGTCTCTTTTCCATGGTTTTTAAATAATGAATGTTATTTTCTTGTTCTAGGCTGCTGAAAATATGACAAGCTGACTTTCTGGAGAGATCCTGATGAGATATGTCAAATTCCTCAAGAGGATTTGAAGATTGCATTTTAGTCAA